TGCAGATGTGGCTCAATGGCCTGGGGCTGGACCCGGCCAATCCTGTTCACAGACGTCGGCGGTTACTGGTGCCTCCTCAGTGTATGGAGTCACTGTCCCGGTGGCGCGACGAGGCGTTTGTGTTGACGGGCGTCGCACTGGGTCCCCTGCCGTCCCTGACAGGGTGGGGCGCAACGTGGCAGGGGCGTGCGGTTCAGGGCGTCTGGCCGGTGCGGCAGAGGGGGCTCCATATCAACGTCCTGGAGCTCCTGGCCGTTCAGCTTGCGCTGCGCCATTTCCTGCCGGTCCTGCGGGGGCGGCATGTGTTGGTGCGGTCGGACAACACCAGTGTGGTCTATTACATCAACCACCAGGGGGGAACTCGGTCGGAGTGCTTGCTGGCAGTGGCACGAGGGCTGTTAACTTGGGCCTATCCCCGTCTTGCGGGTTTGACGGCGATGCACATCCCAGGGACTCTGAATGTGTCAGCGGATTTCCTGTCACGCCACGTTTCGCTGCCGGGCGAGTGGCGGCTACACCCGGAGGTAGTGGTCTCCATTTGGGGGTTGTTCGGCCGGGCGAGGGTGGATCTATTTGCCTCTCAGGGAACGACTCATTGCCCGCTGTGGTTCTCCCTGTTGGAATCCACCGGTCCCCTGGGTCAGGACGCGCTGGCTCACGACTGGCCCAGGGTTCTGCTCTACGCGTTCCCGCCGTTCCCTCTGATCCATCAGACGCTGCTCCGGGTCCTTCAAGAGGGCCACAGGATGATACTGGTGGCCCCGTATTGGCCGGGGAGGACATGGTTTCCCTTGCTGCTCAGGCTCTGCTGCGGCTTGGCGAGGCCCCTTCCCTCCAGGCGGGATCTCCTGTCTCAACTGGGGGGCCGGCTTCTCCATCCGGACCCCGGCCGCCTGCGGCTTTGGGTGTGGGACCTCCGGGGACCGGTTTAGCTTTTACAGCCTATACTGGGGAGATTGGACGCACCATGTGCAATGCCCGGGCTCTGTCCACACACCGGCTGTATTCCTGTAAATGGAACGTGTTCGACGGGTGGTGTCGTGGCAGAGGACTCGACCCGCGTCCCTGCTCGGTGACGTCAATACTGACCTTCCTTCAGGAACTGCTCAGTAAAGGCCATTCTCCATCCACCCTGAAGGTATACGTTGCTGCGATTTCGTGTGGGCACGCTGGGTTTGGTGGGACTAGTGTTGGTCGTGTTACTGACGTTTCACTGTTTTTGAAAGGTGCCCGCCGGTTGCACCCGCCCTGTCGTCCTGTGGTGCCGGCTTGGGACCTCTCGGTTGTCCTTGATGCCCTGCGTTCCCCGCCATTTGAACCATTGGGGGAGATTGCCCTCAAGTGGCTGTCTATGAAGACAGCGTTTCTCCTGGCTATGGCCTCCGGACGGCGGGTGAGTGAACTCCATGCTCTGTCGGTGACCGGGGCCTGTTGTCGTTGGCATCCTGACGGCTCGGGTGTGTCTCTGTGGCCGGATGTGTCCTTTGTCCCGATGTGTTCTGGTGAGCCCCCTGACCCTCTGTGCCCTGTTCGTGCACTGGAGGTGTACATTCGCTCCACGGCCTCGATAAGGCGTTCAGACGCCCTGTTCGTCTGCTGCGCCGGCCCTCGCGTTGGTCGGGCTCTGTCCAAGCAGCGTCTCTCCCACTGGGTCGTGGGGGTTGTGACAGAGGCCTATGCCTTGCGGGGGCTGCCGTTACCGCCTGGGGTGAGGTGCCATTCTACGAGGGGCGTGTCAACTTCGTGGGCTGCTGTGAGTGGTGTGTCGTTGGACGTCATCTGTGCGGCGGCGTCATGGTCGTCCCCAAGCACCTTCGCCAGGTTTTATCGGGTTAATGTTGCCGCCCCCCCCTGCAGGGGGTTCTGCGGCACCGCTCATCTGTTTCACAGTAAGGTGAGGTTCTGGTTGGTTTCCTCGTGACCTTGCTGATATTCGTCATCCAGTGCTTAAGCACCGCCTCTGGCGGTCAGGAAGGATGAAATAGAACGAGAGTTACGACTGTAACTACGGTTCTATGAATCCTGGATGACCGCCAGAGCGCCCGGTCCCTCGGAATCCTTGTGCAAGAAAGGTTCTAGGGACTGTGCTTCCGGTGTCACGTGGCTTTATAGACTCTCGCGTGAGCTACCGGAGGTCACGGGTGACTTTGTTGTTATTTGACTCTCGATCTGTGCATGCGCGAGGATGATCATCCAGTGCTTAAGCACCGCCTCTGGCGGTCATCCAGGATTCATAGAACCGTAGTTACAGTCGTAACTCTCGTTTTATTCATGCATCTATAATGGGTTTAACTCCCTTTTCAAAGACCCTCACTGTTATCTGCGGAGTTATTTCTCCGGATTGTTGCTAAAAGAGTCGTGGGCTTTATTTTGTCACAATAAAATAATCAGACAAGGCCCTTATTCCCTGTCTGTCTCTGTGTTCTTGCTCATACGCCAACAACTTTACCCGCTCGCTCCATCAGCTCACCCCCGCGTGCACGCAAACACGTCACATACTCTTCAATGCACTGATCGCAATTCCAAAAGGGTAATATTGTCAGTGCCCGTGACTGTGGTTCTCCTGCCTCTGTCTGTGGTTCTCCTGCCTCTGTCTGTGGTTATCCTGCCTCTGTCTGTGGTTATCTGTCTGTGTTGTCCTGCCTCTGTCTGTGGTTCTCCTGTTCTCCCTCTGTCTGTGGACCTCTCTCACTGTCCTGTAATTGCGAACGGTCTCTCTGTCAGTCACAATATCATTCAGTGCATTTCTGGTGCATCCATCGATAGCCGTGATACTGACCAGACGTCACCAGTTGATGCTCAATGACTTTGAACAGCCGCATGTGTTTTATTATTAATCTTCCACAGTCCGTTTAGGATAAATTAAATAGAGGCTTCTGAAGCGGATTCTAATCATAAACGGAGAGACCGTTTGCATTTTAACGCGATTACTACCACAACATTATTGCTGCTACTTCATGGATGTGGTCACTGTCTGTAGGCAAAATGTTCACATAATCTGCAGGTAGAGGATGACCCATGGTCATGGATCTATAACAGGGATGACCCATGGTCATGGATCTATAACAGGGATGACCCATGGTCATGGATCTATAACAGGGATGACCCATGGTCATGGATCTATAACAGGGATGACCCATGGTCATGGATCTATAACAGGGATGACCAGAGACCGTTCCAGACAACAACACATACGAGTTTTCAACTGCACATGCGCAGTTGAAAACTCGTAATTTTGACTTTTAAAGTCGAAATTTTGACTTTTAAAGTCGAAATTTTGAGTTTCTGTAGGCTTTTTTTTTTACATGGCGGAAACGGGCTTCCATAGATATTGCCTCAAGCGCCAAAGGAAATGACCAGATTTTGTGTGTGTGTGTGTCTTACTCAGGGTCCTGTGGTTCCTCCTTTATGTCCCTGAGCTCAGAGTCTTCCTCCAGTTTCACTTCTGCCATGTTCCACTGGGTTAGCTCCTGTTAGCTCCCGTTAGCGCCTGTTAGCTCCTGTTAGCTCCCGTTAGCTCCTGTTAGCCTGTGGTGATAATACCGTCTCTTTTTAGCTTTATTAGCTCTCAGCCCTCTCCTGTTAGCTCTCTCCTGTTAGCTCCTTCAGCTTGTTGGTCGCAGCATTGTAAGGGCAGGATAACCGTGCAACACGAACCATTCACGGAGGAAAACAAACACAACACATCAGTCTCTTTGACTCAAACACACGCATCAAGCAGCACCACGTGATTTATGCAGTAAAACACAATGCACTTCCGGTTTGACCCTTCAGTGTAAGAGCTACACACATATACAGATCTATGACACAGATACAAGGCAACACCCTCACTTGCTCTTAAAGCTGCACTAACTGACTTTATTTTTGTATTCATTTGTTAAATGCTATCCATATCCATACAGTGTATTGGGATATACGTTCTTTTGAAGAAAAAGTAGCGCAGATTTGTGCTGGTGTGACATTAAGATAAGATAAGATAAGAATTCCTTTATTCGTCCCACAGTGGGGAAATTTCGATGTTGCATCGCACATATAGGACAGTAGTAAGAGCACACAGGGAGCACACAATATATACAAATAAGTAGTAGCTATGTTTCTTAACTAACATAACTAGCTGTAGATGCTGAAAATGCTTCAATACCAGTCAAAATATGTAAGGGATAATGTATAGCATACAGGTCATTATCGGAAAATAAGTACCGACAGGGCGAAGCGGACCCCGACGCGCAGCGGAGGGGTCTGCTTCCGCCCTGAAGGCTTCAAAATCCCAAAGTCAGTTAGTGCAGCTTTAACACTGCAAGTCAAAAACACACAAGCATATTTACATTACATTTACATTCCAAACAGAAAATGTGTGAACTTTTCCATTCTAACTTTTCTCACTGAGTTAGTCATTACATCAGCTGCCATGTCTGCTGTTGCACAATATACAAGATTTTTTTATTCTCTCTTAGTGCAGATCGAATGAAATTGAATCGAACGTCAATTTGTTTACAACTTTGTCGGTTAAAAGGGTTTTTAGACAATGCTATTGAGAAAGGAGGAAGATGGCTGACACAGCTGCTGGTCACAACTCTGCTCCAGTTTTCAAACGCTCTCGCTTGAAACCAGAGATATACAAAACAACTGATGGGAAAACAATTGTTGAAGATGAACTGCTCAATTTCCTTTGTGTAAAAATGAAGATTATGAGCCAGGATGAGATTATTATTCTGGCTGCTAACACATTTGACTCCGAGTGGATTGAGGCCTCCAAGAAGGCCCTCTTTGAGCTCTGCCCTTCTTCGCAAAGGAATGTCACACACAAGGGAGCGCAGAAAGATGCCAACAACATCAAAAGCTGCCTTAAAGTATTAAATGAGTGTGGGGAGAATATTCCCAGATTTGTTTCCTATTATCTGGATGAGCTCCCACCTGTCACGTTTAATAGTCTGGACGTCTCATGTCTATTAACAAAAATGGAGCAGATGGCCGCAGAAGTTGGCGCTTTAAAGCAAATAATGAACTCACAAGTCAGCATTACTAGTGATCTGCGTATTGCTGCGAGCGGGATCTGCAACCGGGTGTGCTCCCTGGAGAGGGAGCGCAATGAGCGGGCCTGGCCCGCTAACGTGGATGTAGCAGCTGTCACGACGCAAGCTATGCCTCTTGTGTCTGCTGTGAAAGAGGTCTGTGAGATTTCATAACACTTTTAAGCAACTTTTGTTAAGGTTAAACTCATCATTCTATCAATGTGCAGAAGCCAGTACTTTTCCCTTGTTGTGTCTATCTGAAGGCCAAGCTACAAGCACACCGTGGAAGCTGCTGATTGGAGGTCTCCATGCCTCTGCTCTGTATAATACACTTGCATTCTATTGTATCTGTGATCGTGTGCTTTGTTCGTGCTGTGTCTACCATCGACAATAAAACATGTCTTCTGTCTGAATTTAAGACGCGATCCCAGACTTTGTCATCTTCTTCAGGTGGTGGAAGGATGCGGGCATTGTCTGTAACATCTAGAGAACAGAAGACTACTTTTTTTTACACAAAAAGTGTTTTTTTTTTAAGCCAAAACTGAGAAACCTCAAGAGAATGCATCTGGACCAGCACATGGACAATCTGCACAGCCCCTGATTCCACTCAGGCCTGCTGTGAGCTGCTGAGACATGGATAATACCATCGTCCTCTTTTGCAAGGACATAATTTGGAACAATCTGGATTTCTGAATTTGGACATAATTTGGACTGAATTGAATTGCTGAATCTGGACACTGAAGCTGAAACGAGTGATTGAAAGACACGTCACAGAAGAATTCATGGCTCGACACAAATGCAGCCTGAAGAAACCAACACAGAGAAGTGGGAGAGACTGTTTTCAAAGCAATATCTGGAACCACCATCGACTGATGAAGTTTGGTATTTTACTGAAGATTGTTGACAAGTTTTATGAAAGATCTGAAAATGTTTTATGAGTTTTATGAGTTTTTGAAGTATTCCGAGTTCTGAGTTTTTTGAAGTACCGAGTGAAGTACCAAGTTTATGAGTTTAAGTATTGAGTTATGATGTTATGTTGCTGTTTATCGATCCTGATGGTCACACGGGAATGTGTGACCAGAGGGGGGGATGTGAGATTTTAAGCAACTTTTGTTAAGGTTAAACTCATCATTCTATCAATGTGCAGAAGCCAGTACTTTTCCCTTGTTGTGTCTATCTGAAGGCCAAGCTACAAGCACACCGTGGAAGCTGCTGATTGGAGGTCTCCATGCCTCTGCTCTGTATAATACACTTGCATTCTATTGTATCTGTGATCGTGTGCTTTGTTCGTGCTGTGTCTACCATCGACAATAAAACATGTCTTCTGTCTGAATTTAAGACGCGATCCCAGATATGTCATCTTCTTCAGGTCCTGACCCATGGGGAGAAAAGTGCAGCGGAGACAGCGACTCCGACAGTACCGGCCCCGGAGGTGTATGCAGGGACCGCTGCGGAGAGGAGTTTACGGGGGCAGCAGTCGCCAAAGTGGAGTGAGGTTGTGAAGAGGAGCCGGCGCGCAACAACCGATGAAGCTAATGCAGTACGCACGGGACAGGGGAGGAAGCCACGGGCCACTAAGCCTATCGTTGGCACTGGGACTGTGGGCAGCATCCGAACCATACAGACCAAACTGGTGAGTGTGTTTGCTTCTCGATTTTCACCTGATCTGGAGGATGTAACATTAGCGGAATACTTAAAGAGCAAACTCAACCGGGATGTATCATGCCAAAAGATCACCACGGCGCACAATCGATTCAGTTCATTTAAAATATCTGCGGAGTGTAATGACGTAAATGAGATGTATGACCCTGATCTGTGGCCAGAGGGTGCACTCGTTCGGCGGTACTATGAGCCGCGTCGTGTGGGGTACAACAGGGGTGAGCTAGGCGCAGGTGACCCTGTGGGCAGTGCGCGCAATGGCACCGCTGTCCCACTAAGCAAGCCGACGTTGAATCAACGTAATTTGAACGTCGTTGTCCGACGTAGAATATAGGTCACTGGTGGGTGCAGAATGAAAGTTTTCTCGACATCGTTTCCCGACGTCACCTCAACCTCCAAATGTTACGTTGATGGCACGTCAATTCAAGGTTTGAATGTGGTACGGAACCGGTCGGGTCTGACGTCCTATCAACGTCTCATATGACCAAAATATTGACGTTTATATGACGTTCGTTTTCAGTCGTTCCCACTAAGCAAGCAGATGTCAAAACTATGTCATTTCAACGTCATCTGGACGTTCATTCAAGGTTGCAATGTGGTACAGAACCGGTCGGGTCCGACGTCCTATCAACGTCTTATATGACCAAAATATTGCCTTCATATGACGTTCGTTTTCCGTTGTTCCAACTAAGCAAGCAGATGTCAAAACTATGTCATTTCAACGTCATCTGGACGTTATCTGGACGTTCAAATGACGTCGCGGCCACTTCATTCAAGGTTGCAATGTGGTACAGAACCGGTCGGGTCCGACGTCCTCTCGACGTCTTATATGACCAAAATATTGACGTTTATATGACGTCCATTTACAGTCCTATTGACCTACTTAACCTCTGCAGAATCACTCACTGGTCGAGACATACTTTTTGCAATAGGCAAGGCAAGTTTATTTGTATAGCACAGTCAAAACAAAAGGAAACTCAAAGCACTGAACAAAAGATAGAAACAATCAAACAAGGCATTACAATTATAAATATTGACAGTAAATTAAAAAGATACAAATAAAATCTCTCATAAAATCTCTCAGTTGAAGCAGAAACAGAAGTGTTTTAAACCTGGATTTTAACATTGTCAAAGAAGAAGCCTGTCTCACATTTCCAGGAAGACCGTTCCAGATTTTAGCCTTGTGAATCTGAAATGCAGCTTTATCATGTTTAGTTCTGACTCTGGGCAATAAACGATAAACACAGCATTCAAAAATCATTAGAACAACTGTAGTAGAAGGATATCAGTCATTATTGCAAATGGAGCTGCATTAAAAATCATGTTTCTCTACATCAAAGTACAAGTTAAAGCACACAGGGCACAGTGTTATGAACACTACTGTACTGAACACTACTGTACTGAACACTACTGTACTGAACAGTTCATGCCAAAGTAAAAAAACATGATTGTAGCGCCTATGTTTGGATCAGTATTAAAACAGGCACAAGCTACACTCTAGGTTCCCCCAGATGTAAAAACACAATCTGAAAGGCAGAAGAATGCATTTATTGAATGTTGATGTTCCAACATGTGTCCTCTCTTGGTCTTCAGTCTCTCATCACAAGGTCCAAGCACAGCACCTGAAAATGTGGAACATGTTTAGTTTCAACGTAATGTGGCAAAGTGATATAACACATAACTTTCTATTAATGCCTCAAACCACTCGATCCATCACCATGTGATACAATCCTTGGCACTGCACTAGCTCGAGACACTGGAAGACACTCAGTCTGAGAAACTTGGGATAAGGCTTTGGTCATTGGAGTAATTCCATGTAAAAAACAATTGCAAATATGCATTTGTTTTGCACATGGACAAATGAGCCCTGAAAGCTACTTACCCTGTATTACTCTACACATGTTGCATTTCCGAGGGGGCATTTTCCCCTTGTTGCTCTTTTCCCTCATCTTGAGTGAGTTGCTGAACAATCTGAGAAAAAGATAGATGTTTTCAAAGAGAATACACCAAATAATGGTTTATTCTAAAAACAACATATTAATACAGAACAACAATCAATGTGTGAGAGTGTGATTCTTACCTTTGAACACCTTCAACACAGTCTGACACCTGTAAGACTCAAACACACATGACACATTAGGAATACACACAGAACATTAATTATTGCAACAATCATGAAATTATACTCTATGGATTTCACAATAATTGACTGCATTAGCAAAGGTAAATGTATTTTAATTAACATATGGCTGGTTTTAAAGTTTATAAGAAAAAGTAAGAAATTGAATAGAGTTGCAAGCGCTAGTTAGCTTGCTACCAGCAGATGAATGGATATTTAATATTTGCAGCTAACAATAACAAAAATAACAACTGTAGTGGCTCATTTAAACAGCCACAGTGAGAAGAAGTGAAAGTCTCTGACATTGAAGACCTGGGAAGACGTTAAGTCCATTTATTAAACAAAGCAATACATGAACATTAAACTCTCTTTCTGCAGCAGGTAACATCTGTGTGCTCCTATGGTCCCACATGGTCCCACATGGTCCCACACCTGAACTCAACTCCAACTGATGACATCACAGTTGTCTAAATGATGGGAGTGTCCCAAATAGTAAAGCTGATCTCCCTGTTTTTAAACTTAGTTTACTAAGTACTGTTGTCTTTTTGCAGTTTATAAACCATTGTGAAATATACAGTAACTTTACATTTTAGAATTGAATTATTATTTTAAAACTCAAGAATCTTAACCTTTTTTAACACATACTTTGTTGGACAGTCTAACCTAAGAATTTTAATGTGTTAAAAATAGTTTGAAATATGAAAAACAATATCATATTTTAAACTTTAACTTAAAAACTAAAAAAAAGGTGTCTCCCTTTCAGCTGAGCAGTGCCAGCCGTTATTATTATAGATTCATGCACTGGCAATTCAAAATACAGATAATATACAAAATATACTTAACAAAATCCACGTATACGTGAGAAAACAACTGAGTTTCTGTCTCCAACTCTTTTCAATGTGGAAATGATACATCTATATCATAAAACTGTGCAGACTGTGTACTTACTAGAGAGGGTGATTCCAAGTAAATAAAGCAGGGCAGCGACAGAGGTACAGATTCAACGTCATATCAACGTCTGGGAAGACATTACTTTACGTCCAGATTCACACCTTACGTCGTTTAGACGTGGAAAACAGGTCCTCGACCGAGCGACTCACGTGTCAGGCTGTAAAGCCTAAGTTATACTTGCGCGGCGCACAAGTGTGCGTCGGTTGTTTAGGGTGTTATCTATTATTTTTTCACAGTAGTCAGAAACATGCCTGGCCGTGGTGTAGCGGTTGCGTAATGAGACTTCAGTCGCAACGACGCAGGTTCAAATCCCCCTCGGAAAACTTTTGACTTTTCACTTTTTAGCGAACAATTTTTCTGTTTGGTTAAAAACGAATAAACACTCAACATAAGATTATGTAGTGGCTAATAATGAAACTTGTGAACCCATGCATTTGCATAAAATCTCAAGTGCTCACCCCTTATTTGCAAACTTGAGATTGTTAGCACAACAAATGCATACATTCACAAGTTTTATTATTAGCCACTACGTAATCCTATGTTGAGTGTTTATTAGTCTTTAACCAAACAGAAAAAAATTGTTCGTTAAAAATCAAAACAAATATGTAAAGATAATAATACACACACGTGGGCTCGAACCCATGTAACCAAGGCTGCACACAATTGCTTAACCACTACACTACCGTCAGGTACACTGAGATCGCTTCACAGCCTATATATTGTATTGCTAGATCAAGACGTACTGCGTCGGTCGGCCGATGACCTGTTTTCGACGTCTAGGGGAGGTCGGGATTGAACGTCATATCCACGTATATGGGAGGTCATTGTTTTACGTCCAGATGCGCACCTTGCACAGACGTCGTTTGGACGTAAATAAAAGGTCACGACCGACCGACGCGATTTTGACGTGATCTGGAGGTTGAGTGGACGTCGGATGTTTAGTGGGGTGGTACCCTAAAATGCAGCTATGGATTTACGTCTTCTGACTTATAACTGTCGGGGCCTACGGCTTGGAAACAGTGCTGCGGATAAAGCTTGTCGCTTGGTTGTCGATGGACTGTTGCAAAATTGCGACATACTGTGTTTGCAAGAGACTTTTTTATCTCAACAAGACTTGCAAAAGCTGAACTCGTTTAATGAGTATTTTCATGGGGCTGGTGAGTCCACTACTGATTTTAACAGGAGTATTGTCATGGGTAGAATAGCAGGGGGTGTGGCAATACTCTGGAGAAAGTCTCTTGATACATGCGTTAAAGTTATCAGACTTGGAGTTGACTGGTGTATTGGTCTACATTTTACTTGTGATGATAAAGAATTTATAATAGTTAATGTCTACACTCCGTATGAGTGCAAACAAAATGAAGATGTATATTTAGATAAGCTGGCCTTTTTGCATGCGGTTGTTGAAGACAGCCCTGTATCTAGTGTTTACATTGTAGGAGACATGAATGCAGACATTGCAGACATGACTTCCTTATTTGGTAAACATTTGCTACAATTCTGTGAGGATCATGACTATATTCTATCTAGCAGATGTTTACTTCCTATAAAGAGCTACACATATATTAGTGAGGCTTGGCATACAACCTCATGGTTGGACCACTGTATAAGTACAGCTGATGCACATGTCTCCCTGGCATCTATGCAAATACTTTACAGTGTTGTTACTGGAGATCATATTCCTATCTCTTTTAATATACACGTTGACCAGTTACCAGGACTGACAACACACAATGGCCCAGTTAAGCAGGGGAGGCTGGACTGG